CTTCCCGCAGGAAGCCCACCCTCAGCTGCACTCACCTCCATCTTCAGGGGCCCCTGTAGAAAGGGCTCACTGTGGACTTTCACTTCTGCTTCTGCAGTGACCCGGGGCCTGGCAGGACAGCCCCCCACTTTCCACCCACCCCCAGCCAGGCACCAGGGTTAAACACATGCCTTCCCCTCCCTCCCCCAGAGATGACTCAGGAGGGACCAGGTCAGCAAGCCCAACGGCAGGCAGGGCCCCCAAGGAAAGGCTGAGGGTCCAAGTGGGCAAAGTCGGGGTGGGGAGTGGGGAGAAAGGGAGATTCCCGTGGGTCTCAGCTCAGAAGCTCATTTTCATGCACCAGTCCCCCAGGCTCAGCTTCCGCCTGCTCCTGGCTTCCCCTTCTGCCCCTGCCCAGTGGCAGTCACGGCGTCTGGGGAAGGAGCCTGCCTTGGGGCAGACCCAAGTGCCTCCTGTGCAGAGATGTTCCTGCTGCTGCTGTTTGCCATGTTAAGCGACGGTGAGTGGGCTGAGGGCCAGGGAGGCCTGGGTTGGGGCTGGGGCTGGGGTTACAGCTTGAGCCTCTGTTCTCCCGCAGGATATCTGGTTCCAATCTCAGAATTCTCCCTGAGAGTGCAGAAGAAAGTGACGGTGCAGGAGGGCCTGTGTGTGCTTGTGCCCTGCACCCTCTCCTACCCTCACAGAAACTGGAGTGAAGATACCCCAGCTTATGGCTACTGGTTCAAACTTTGGGGCGCCTCTGTTCTGCCAGTGGCCACAAACAACCAGTCTCAAAAGGTGGACACGAATACCCAGGGCCGATTCCAGCTCGTGGGCAGTCCTCAGGACAAGAGCTGCTCCCTGCTGATCAGAGATGCACAGATGGGAGACAGGGCAACATATTACTTTCGGGTCGAGAGAGGCTCTTACGTGCGATATAATTTCAAGCAAAATCTATTCTCTCTGGATGTGACAGGTATGGAACTGGCTTGAGGTGGAATGGGGTGAGACCTCCCCTGCTTCTCATACTGGGAAGGGCTGTGGGGAATGGACCAGCGGACACCCCCTGCAGTATCCCATCTGGGGACTAACATTGTGTCCTCTCTTCATCCAGCCTTGACACGGAAGCCAGATGTCTACATCCCAGAGATGCTGGAGCCTGGGCACCAGGTGACAGTCACTTGTGTGTTTGACTCAGACTTTGAGCAATGTCCAGTCCCTACTTTCTCCTGGACTGGGGCTGCCCTCTTCTCCCAAGAAACCAGACCGACAAGGTCCCACGTCTCCATGCTCACTTTCACACCAAGGTCCCAGGATGACGGCGCCAACCTCACCTGTCGAGTAGATTTCTCCAGAAAGGGCGTGAGTGCTGAAAACACCATCCGCCTTAATGTGGCCTGTGAGTTTGGTGGGGAAGGTCTGGGTGATCAACAGCCCCTGTGGATGGGGAGGGGCAGAGGTGGCCAGTGCTGGGCGCCCTGGGTAGGGTGTCCAAGGAGAAGGTGTGGAGGTGGATGTCATCTGGCCCTCCCTCTGCAAGCATGTCTTTGTCACTCCTTTGTCGCTTGTCTTCCCTGAGGATAGTCACAATTTCTGTTCTCTGAGGGTGTTCTCTCTGACTATGGGGAACCAAACTGATCCTCCCCAGAGCTAGCTCACAATCTCATTGCAGATGCTCCCAAAGGTCTGTTGATCAGCACTTCCCCAGCCAAAGGATCAGGTACCAAGGGCCTGTGGGGCAGGGTGGGGCTGGGCCAGTCCTTTTTGGTGGAAGAAAAGGCGTCAGGAGGCTGGGGAAATGGTGTTTGTCCCTACAGCCCTTTCTCTGTCTCTCTGTGTCCCTCCCTCTCTGCAGCCCTGGAGCCCCAGGGAGACAGCCTATATCTGGAAGCCCAGAAAGGCCAAGACCTGCGACTGCTCTGTACTGCTGACAGCAGACCCCCTGCCACCCTGAGCTGGGCCCTGGAGGACAGGGTCCTTTCTTGGTCCCACCCCTCAGGATCCAAAGCCCTGGAGCTGGAGCTGCCCAGGGTGAAGCCTGGGGACTCAGGACACTACACCTGCAGAGCCGAGAACAGGCTTGGCTTCCAAAGCCGCACCCTGAACCTCTCTGTGCAGTGTGAGTGTGGCCAGCGGGGCCACCGTTTCAGGGAAGAGAGAGGGTGAGGGAGCAGGGGCTGGGGGCAGGGTCCCAGAGCTCAAAGGAACCTGGAACCCCAGGCTTAGGGGACTAAGGATTCTGATTCCAATTCTATTGTAGGTATTTTTCTCCCCCATCCCCAAGCAATTCTCTGACTCCAGCTCGGTGTCCTGCAATTCAACTCAATTCTGACGCTATCGCCCTGGAGATAGAATCGGATCCCACAGGTTAAGGGCTCACTCTCACAAGACTGCCCCCCACTTCAGACACCAATCTCAAGTCCAAGTTGTCACCTGTGCTTCTGACTATAGTTCAGAGGCTACAGATGGGAGGTTCCGTGACCCCCCTCTTTGGGTTCAACTGATTTGCTAGGTAGAGCAGCTCGCGGAACTCAGAGAAATGTTTTATTTACCAGATTACCAGTTTGTTATGAAAGAATGTAATTCAGAATGTAAGCCAGACGGAAGAGATGCGTAGGGCCAGGTATGGAAGCATACGAAGCTTCCATGCCTTCTCCAGGGGCACCCTCTACTTAAATCTCCAACCCAGAAACTCTCCACCCCATCTTTGGGGTTTTATATATGGAGGCTTCATTACACAGGCATGATTGATTAAATCCTTGGCCATTGATGACTGAACTCCCTCTCCAGCTTCTTCCCTTTTGGGAGGCCAAGGGGGTGGGACTGAAATTCCCAACCCTCCAATCGCAAGGATAGTTCCCCTGGCAACAACCCCATCCTTCCGTGCTTTCCAAAAGTCACCTCAATAAGGTAAACTCATGTGTGGTAAAAAAAAGGGTTTGTTATGAATATCAAAACACCTTTATTGCTCTCATCGCTTGGAAATTCCAAGGGTTGCAGAAGCCCTGAGCCTGGAACTGGGGACTAAGACCAAATATATATTTCTTATTAAAAATCACAGCAACACAGGGAGCTACCTTTCTTACCCATCTATTCCCTTGGGTAGTCTGTGTCACTCAGTGGTGAATCACAGTCAGCTGGTGATTCAGCCCTCCACCCCCACCTCACCCCCCCAACCCCCACTTGTCACTGTCACTTGTCTCCAGGGACCCTTTGCCCAGAGTGAAGCCTCCTGCCTGGCTACAGCTGGTGCTCTGTCTGTGTTTCAGATGCCCCCGAGAACCTGAGAGTGATGGTTTTCCAAGCCAACAGGACAGGTAGGAAGGGGGGACAGAAGAGCCAGGGACTCTCAGTGCCCAAATTGGGGGCCCAGGTGCCGGGAATGTAAGGATGCAAGAGGGTCCCTGTGCCCTCAGCTGTGTCTCTGTCCTGCCTCTTCCCTGCCCTAGTCCTGGAAAACCTCAGGAATGGCACATCCCTCCCAGTCCTGGAGGGCCAAAGCCTGCGTCTGCTCTGTGTCACTCACAGCAACCCCCCAGCCTTGCTGAGCTGGGCCCGGGGGGGACAGATTCTGCACCCTTCCCAGGCCTCAGACCCTGAGGTCCTGGAGCTGCCTCAGATACAAATGGAGCATGAAGGAGAATTCACCTGCCATGCTTGGAACCTGCTGGGCTCCCAGAACGTCTCTCTGCATCTCTCTGTGCACTGTGAGTGGGGGGATGAGGAACCCCTGGGAGCAGGACACCTGGGTGCTGGGTTGGGGAGAGGCACTGCTGATCCTTCTCCTCCCTCCTCACAGACCCCCCAGAGCTGCTGGGACCCTCCTGCTCCTGGGAGGAGGAGGGTCTGTACTGCAGCTGCTCCTCCCGAGCCCAGCCGGCCCCCTCCGTGCGCTGGCGACTGGGGGAGGGGTTGCTGGAAGGGAACCTCAGCAATGCCTCCTTCAAGGTCACCTCCAGCTCAGTGGGGCCCTGGGCCAACAGCTCCCTGAGCCTCAGCAAGGGGCTCAGCTCCAGCCTCAGGCTCAGCTGCGAGGCTGGAAATGTCCACGGGGCCCAGAGCGCCACTGTCCTGCTGCTGCCAGGTCAGGGGGTCTGTTGTATGCTCCCCGGAGGCAGGGGCTGAGTGAGGCAGGGTCAGGGTCCTGTGGTTGGAGCAGGAGCTGGAGATGGGGACATGGCACTTGTGGCTGGGGGTGCAGAAGGAAAAAATACAAATTGGGTGGCCTCACACCTGGGCCTGGGGTGCATGCAGCTGGGTTTTAAAGCAATAGACAGGAAGGGGTTGCAGGTAAGATGTCTGGAATGGGAGCTGGAAGCCTGCATGCCTGGTGGTAGGTGGGTGGGAGAATCCAGGTTGATGGCAGAGGCTCAGAGACGTCTGACTATCCCTCGTGCAGATAAAAAGGGACTCATCTCAGAAGCGTTCTCTAACGGAGTAGTTCTGGGCATTGGCGTCACCACCCTCTTCTTCTTCCTTGGCCTCTGCCTCATCCTGGTCATGTGAGTTAGGAGCAGGAGACGGGGCTGTGGGGTGTGGGGACAGGGGAGGTGCCAGGGAGCACAGCAAGGTGGGTCGTTTCCTCAGCATGAAGACGCTGGGGAAGAAACAGACCCAGGCAGAGACTCCGACCCAGGCAGAGACTCGGAGGCCCAGGATCGCAAGGAGGAGCACGATCCTGGATTACATCAACGTGGTCCCTCACACCGGTCCTCTGGTGGGTGGCCCAGAGGCGCTGCCTCTTCTTTCTCTCTGTGACTCCTGAACTGGCTCCTCCCCTGCCCGGCTCCATGCTTTGCCTGAGGGAAAGCACGGGTGTGGGATGCAAATCCTCATTCTCTTGGCACTTACTACCTATGAGGACTTGACCAAATGACTCTGTCCTTCCATTTCCTCCTCTCCTGCCTTTGAGAGCTGGTTTCAGGAGTAGCACTTGCTCAATACGTAGCAGCTATTCCATTATTGCCACCACCAGGGGCGTTATTAATTATAATTAATGATGTAACAATTATTAATATCATTGAAAGGCAGCATGTTCTAGTGATTAAGAGCAGGGCTGCCTGGGTTTACTCTTGCTTTCATCGCTGTGTGTTCTTGGGCAAATCACTAAACGTTTCTGTGCCTCAATTTCTTGAACTATAATATGGGGAAAATAGTAGTACCTACCACCTAGGAGCTCTCCAGGTATTCAATATGCTCAAATTGTACCTGGAAAACATTTAGAATAGTACCTGGCACATAGTAAGTGTCAGAAAATGCAGGATATTTTCCAGAAGAGGCTGTCTATACCCTGATGGCTCTAAAATTTACATCTCCCAGACTCACCCCTGAACTCTAGACTCACTTGTGAACTCTAGACTCCTATCCAGCTGTCTAGGCAGCATCTCCATGTAGCTGTCTAACAAGCCTGTCCAAAAGCAAACTTACGAGTAACTATACTTCTATGTCTCCTCCATCCTCCCATCTCAGCAAATAGCACCACGTCTGCCAGCTGCTCAAGCCTAAAGCCTCAGAGTTGTCTTCCATGCCTCTCTTCTCTATCACCCCACAATCAATCCATCAGCAAATCCCCTTCAAAACACATTCAAACCACTCCTCTCCCCACCTCCCTAGTCCATGCACCAACATCTCTCACCTGGATACCACCGCCACCTTCTGTAGGTCTTCTCAGCTCCTCACACCCCAGCCTCTTTCTCTGTACATGATATCTATTTAAGACCCCAATAGGTCCATCAACCCTCTTTAATATAACAAAAAGGAACAAAGAATTGATACATACAACCGGTTAAATAGAGCTTAGAAACAAACAAAAAAAAAAAAAGGAAAAAAGCCCATCTCCAATGGTCACATATGCATGGTTTCATGTACCTAACACTCTCGAAATGATAAAACTGTAGAGATGGAGAGCAGATTAGTAGCTGCCCAGGGTTGGGACTGGAAGGGTGATGAGAGGGACTAGAGAGGGTGAGCAAGAGGGAGGTGTTTGTAGTGTTGGAGCGTCTGCATCTTGGTGGTGGTGGTGGTTACAGGAGTTACCCGTGTTAGTTGCTAGAGTGGCAGTAGCAGAAAGCTGCAGATTGGGTGGCTTAAATAACAGACATGTGTTTATTGTTTCTGCCCCAAGATGGAATGTAAGCTCAGCGAGAACAGAGGCTTCGTTTTACTCCCTGATGTAACCCCAGTTCCTCCATCAGTGCCTGGCATGTGGTAGGCACTCAAGAATTTGTTGAATGAATGAATGAATGAATGAATGAATGTCATTTTCCCCTTAGGCTGGGAATCGGAATGCCAAACCAAGCAGTCCTTTCCGGATGCCTCCTGCAGAGGCTGACTCTCCACAATCTAAGAACAGCCAGGAGCTACGTTGTGTTGCCCACAGTGGTCCAGGACCCAAAGCACCCCCTCAAGCCCCAGAATCAAGGAACAATGAAGAGGAGCTCCATTATGCTACCCTCAACTTCCCAGGCCTCAGACCACAGGAGACCCAGGAGTCCAAGGACACTGGCTCAGAATACGCAGAAATCAGGTTCCACTGAGGGTCCACAGGCTGTGGGGACAGGGATCCAGGCTAGAGAGAAAGGCAGGGCCATTGAGAGGACGAGGAAGAGGGCAAAGTATCTGTCTCTTTTTCTTCTACTCCTCCAAGGATGGGTCATTTGAACTGCTTGACAAATCTTCAGAGTGACCTCTAAATACACAAGGATAAACTTTTCTTCTGACATACCCAGGCACCACCCTAGCTGATAACTCACAGTCTCACGTTTCTCAACGGTGGGAGGGCCTTTAAAGACGGTTAAACAACCATCTTTGTGAGGTCAGCAAGCTAACCTCTCAGGTCAAGACTGGTCCTATGCCTATTTTCATTCCGCATGTCAGCCAATAATTTTTTTTTAACCTTTTAAACAGCTGGGGAGAAAAAAAATCAAGACAAGAAGAATGTTTTGTGATGCATGGAAATATAAAATTCAAATGCTGATGTTCATTAATAAAGTTTTATTGGAGCCCAGACAAGCCCATTCTTTTATGTATCACCATCTATGGCAGGTTTCATGTGGAGTTGAGTTGCCAGCCTGCAAAGCCTTAGATATATAGCGTCTGGTCCTTTACAGGAGAAGTTTATGGATATTAGTCTAAAGTAAATTCACCCACTTATTTTTACAGAAGAGGAAACAGGAGCAGAGGTTCAGAAAGGGGTCAAAAGCAGCCAAGGTCTACGTGACTATCTGTGGGTCTAGATGGAAGGTTCCCAGAGTGAGGGTGTGAGGCACGAGGGGGTAAAGGATGAACGCATTGTCCACCCCCAATCTAGGGAAGAGCAAATACTTGAGGGCATGGGAGCGGGGACACTGGCAAAATGGAATGAAGAACAAACTGGCAATGTGTTCTGATCCAACCAGCTGGTAAACAGAGGAAAAGGAGTCTGTTTCACACAGCAAAGCATGTCTTTTCCCTTTGTCCTTCCCCAGAGCTCATAGTTCTAATTGTTTCATGGACAGTCCTCTTGGGGGATGGCTGCCAGTTGTCAGGCAGAAAACTGGGTACTCAGAAAAGATGCTGGTCTTTGCATTTTTTAAAAAAATTTTTATTGGGTAACTGTGTTTTTCCCAGGACCCATCAGCTGCAAGTCAAGTCGTTATCCTTCAATCTAGTTGTGGAGAATGCAGCTCAGCTCCAAGACCAGTCACCATTTTCAATCTAGTTGCAGGGGGAGGGGGCCCAGCTCAGCATTCCATGAGGGAGTCGAACCGGCAACCTTGTTAAGTGCACGTGCTCTAATCAACTGAGCCACCCAGCCTACCTCTTTGTGTTTTTTAAAGTGATAATGACATAATTGGAAGATAGGAAGAGCTGGAAAAAAGTATGAATAAAGCAGAAGAGGTTATAAGTAAAGCTGAAAAAATATAGATAAAAAAAAGGTCAAATAAGGTTCTCTCAGGTGACAAACTGTACATACAAGGTTGGACAATTAAGTTCGTGAACTTGTTGCAATGATGTTGCTAACCTTTTTTGATATCAGAGGGATTATTCATTATGAATTTGTGCCAACTGGACAAACAGTTAACTAAGTTTACTATTTGGAAGTGCTGAAAAGGCTGCGTGAAAAAGTTAGATGACTTGAACTTTTTGCCAACAATTCATGGCTCTTGCATCACAACACCAGCTCACATGGCACTGTCTTGTGAGGGAGTTTTTAGCCAGTAAACAAATAACTGTACTGGAACACTCTCCCTACTCACCTGATCTGACCACCAATGACTTCTTTCTTTACCCGAAGATAAAGGAAATATTGAAAGAAAGACATTTTGATGACATTCAGGACATCAAGAGTAATACAATGACAGCTCTGATGGCCATTCCAGAAGAGTTCCAAAATTGTTTTGAAGGGTGGACTAGGCACTGGCATTGGTGCATAGCTTCCCAAGGGGAGTACTTCAAAGGTGACCATAGTGATATTCAGCAATGAAGTATGTAGCACTTTTTCTAGGATGAGTTCATAAACTTAATTGTCAGAACTCATAAGTGGCAGTGTAATTATAAGAGGAAGGGAAGGGGGGAAGGAAATTTGTATTTTTTTTTAAAGATTTTTACTGGGGAATTGGGGGTATGGGAACAGCGCTGGGGAATTGGGGGAGGGGAACAGACAAGTTGCTGTCGTTTTGTTCTTTAGTCTAGTTGTGGAGGATGTTGTTTCACTGGCCCAAGTTGGCACCATCATTGCGCTTTTCCCGGGCGAGGCAGATCAGTCGCCGACTTCTGGACGGCCACTCACTGTGGCTGCTGGCCGCTCACACTGTCTGCTGGCCACATATGGTAGCCCATGGCAACCCACTGCCACAGGGGCTGTAGCCTACGCTGTCACTGGCGACCCAGCTCCAGGTCGAGCTGTTGTTCAGCATCTTAGCTGTGGAGGGCAGTGTCACTGGCCCTCATATGTGGGATCCGAACCGGGGCCCTCTGGCGTCCCAAGCCAGTTCTTAACCATCGCGCCACTCAGCTGGCCCAGGAAATTTGTATTTTTAAGCACCTCCTAGGTATCACATTGTGAATCACCTATTTATAGCTGTCTCTTTCAACAACAACTGTGGTGTATGATAAAGAATATCTTCATGGTGAAGATATCTGAGGCTCACAGAAGTGAATTAATTTCTCTGAAGGCACCAGGAGAGATTGCTGGAATCAAGAATCCCAACTGGCTGGCCGGCTCTAAAACCACAGCTTTCCTTGTGCTTCACAATTCCTCCTGAAGGGAGCGCTCATGAGTGAAAAGGACTCTGAACCCAGGGCACTTACCTTGGCTGGGGAGAGGCCGAGACCTAAAGGATCTAGCTTATAGTCAACAGGTCAAGATGGGAGGGGATTGGGAGGATGAGAGAAAGGTGAAGGAATTAAAGTACAAATTGCCAGTTATACAAACAGTCCCAGGGATGGAAAGTACAGCATAGGGAATATAGTCAATAATATTGTAATTACTATGTATGGTGTCAGGTGGGTACTAGACTTATCTGGGTGATCACTTTGTAAGGTATATAAATGTCTAATCACTAAGTTGTACACCTGAAACTAATATAATTGTATGTCAACTGTAATTGGAAAACAATTTTTTTTAAAAGATGCTATTTAATTGGGAACAATTGACATCTTTATAAAATCCTGTCAATAGTTTACATGGTATTTTCTCTTATTTAATTGTGTCCTTTAAATTTTTATTTCTCTATAATGCTTTATAATCTTCCATGTAGAACACATGCATATTTTTGTTAGATTTCTTTCTAGGTATTTGATGTTTTTTGGTTGTATTAAAAATGGTGTATTTCTTTTGATTTCATTTTCTTGTTGATTCTGGTATATAGAAATACACTTGAATTTTGCACATTAACCTTGTATTGATCAGCCTTGTGAAATTTGCCTCTTTAAATAATTCATCTGTAAGTTATTTAGGATTTTCTATATAAAAAATCATATCATTTGATAATAAACATTTCTTTTCTTTTCTTTTCTTTCTCTCTATTTTTTTTTGCCAAAGGGAAAATAAATAAATACAATTTTAATTATGCTAAAAAGCAGGGTGAGATTTAGAAGGGAAGGCACATTATTTCAAAAGGTGACAGCTTAGACTGAGAGGAAAAAGCTGTGAGCGGACAAGTTAACATTTTCCAAGCATAAGCAGAGGTGTGTGGCTGATGTCCTGAGTCATGATGTCCTGAGTGAGAGAAAAACAGAGGATGTTTAGAGATAATATCAACTTCAGCTAAGCCCTCTCACATTCCAGAGCTATTTATTTGTGAAAATGTCTATAACACTAACATATACTGAGCACCTACTGCAGGCACTGTTGCTTAATGCTTATATTATCCCACCTAATACTCACAAAATGTTAAGGGAATTTTTGTCCAAAGACCAGGGACGTCTCCCTTCTTTGGGCCAGGAACTTGATGTGGTAATTGCCAGGTAGTTGATGATATAGTAAGGAGGCCCACTCTGACATGTTTTGCTTCCAAATGTGCCAGCACATCCAGGTACTGAATAAAATTAAAAACTGAATTGGGGGCCGGCCGAGTGACTCAGTTGGTTAAGAGTGCGAGCTCTGAGCAACAGGGTCACTGGTTCAATTCCCACATGGGCCAGTGAGCTGCGCCAGAGCTGAGCTGCCGCTGAGCTGCCAACAGGAGGCAAAATGGCTCAGCTGGTGAGAGCATGTGCTCCTAACGACAAGGTTGCTGGTTGGACTCTCACATTGGATGGTGGGCTATGCCCACCTGCAACTAAGATTGAACACAGCACCTTGAGCTGAGCAGCCGCAAGTTGCCACCGGGTGGCCGGATGGCAACTGGACTTGGAGCTGAGCAACCTGCACCGTCTGCAACTAAGATTGAAGGACAACAACTTGGCTGTTCCCCTTCCCCAATTCCCCTACACTGTTCCCCTTCTCCAATTCCCCAATAAAAGTCTTTAAAACAAACAAACAAACAAAACTGAATTGGCTGCAAGGACTGAAGTTGGCTCCCAGAAGCCAGGGTACACAGAGTAATGGAATTACAGACTCGTGGTTGGGGTATCCACTTCCTGTTATAGATGGGTCTTAGAGAGGGACGGGGTCTTAACTAGGTCACACCGCGAAATAGCAGAAGTGAAATCCAAAACTCAGACAGGTCCTAAAATAGATGAGCACTGCAGGTCATGAATCCCTTTTCATAAGCTTAGAGTGGGGAGGAAGCTAGACGGGCTTCTGTTTCTCTCCCTCGACCTCCAAATTCTGCCAGGAGAGCAATCCTTCCAAGCTGGTTTGACCTGGGAAACCAAGATTACAAAATTGTGTTGCTAAGGCAACAGGTTTGACCAGGGGTCAGGAACTTGGAAATGTGTGTGTTAAGGTCCTGACTTCTGCAATCATGACTTGGGACTTCGAGGAGGTGGTGGGGATGATGTCGTTATCCAGTATTCTTGGGGAAAAGCAGTGTTGTATAGATGAAAAACATTATTTAATTTACAAACAAACAAACAAAAACCCAAAAGCGAATAGGTACCTGGAGTCAGAAGACCCAGCTTAGACTTTCTGCATTGCCAAATATCCTCTGTAATCAGTTAATCAGAGACGATTAACAGGAAATATAAATACACAACAGTTCCATATTTCTAATCGCTGACTAAGTTGTGTTCTGTTAAAACTCTTTTTCTCAGCCCTTAACAGTGTCTTGGACATTCCGTAACTTTCTAGTCAGTTCTGTTGATTAAAACTCAACCTGGTCTTAAGTCTTCACCTCAAACTTGGCTTAAATCCCATCACCTCCTCTCTGCATTCAGCAGAGGTTTAAGCTGAGACCTGACTCCTTGGAGAAGACAGGAAGGCCAGTTGTCCCTCACACACCTCTTCTCCATTTCCACTTCAAGTCCTAGTTTCCCAAAGTACTGGGGCTCAGAAGAGGGACAGGTATGGGAACAAGTGACTCTAGATCTAACTGGCTACAGCTATGGCCTCTTGTGGGCTGAAGCAGCTTCTCTGGCTAACCCTGCTGGCCCTCTGTGTGGCAGGTGTCCAAATGCTGGCTCTCTCATGGAGCAAAAGTGTGAGGATTTGGGTGGGCCCAGTGACACTTTCTGGACTCCTCTGTTTCTTGACATGAGAGGAGTGCCCCCTCCCACACTGTAAGGGACAAAAACCTTCCTTTGTATTCCTCCTTTACTCTCACACTGCTACCACACTTCATGTCACTTCTGACCTCAAATGTGTTTCCACACATCAAACAATTCTTTGACACCAGCTGGGTGTCCTAAAATTTACCGCAATTCTGACACTATCTACCTAGTGGTCAGTCATACAAGACTGCCCCTTCCCGAACTTCAGGCGCCAGTCACAAGTCATGTGCTCCTGACCGACCGGCTAAAGATTGGAGGTTCCAAATGATACGGGCCAAACAAAAGGGCTTCTCACTATAGAAACTCTAAGTTTTCTTTTTCCTAGTGTTTTGACTCCATAGCCCTTGGTTATAATAATTTTTCAAATCAGTTTCTTAATCATAAATAATAGATTGTTTCCAACCTGAATCATAGAAATCTCCCATCCCCTTGCTTTAGATAATTGCACTGAAACTTGTGATTTATGCTTGTTGATCGTA